CAATATTGCACATCGTAGAAGCTTTCTGGCTCCCCCTCATCAGTAATCAAAATGTAATCAGAATTAGGGTACCTTGTAGATGGTTGGCGTTCTCTGGTTGACCTTCTTAACTAAGGTTCAACTCCTTCTAGTGGAATGGGGTTCTCTGGCTCCCCCTGCTCAACACCCTTTGCATCACTGTTATCATCTACAATTGTCTCTTGATCCCCCACGACTGATAATTGTTTCTTGATCCCCTACGACTGACTCTTCTTCTTCTTCTCGTTCTGATTCTGGCATTCCTCATCCTGTGGCATTATCTGTAGGAATGCTTCCTGGTGTAATATAAATAACACCATCACTTGTGGATTTTTTCACAAGTTATATCTGCCATGATCTCATTTTTGTGGAATACTACGTCTCAGCTCCGGACAACTTTCTTTTTCACTGGGTCCCATAACCTATAGCCAAACTCTTCATCTCCATAACCAACAAAAGTGAACTGACTTGTCGATCAAGCTTGATCTCTGCTCCTTCAGAACATGCATAAATGCCTTTGCAGCCAAAATACCCTCAGATGAGAGTATGAGATATTTTTCTACCTATCCAGACCTTCTCCGGGATATCAAAATCCAAGATGCTGAAGTAGTCCGTGATTAGGTAGACAGCAGTATTGAAGCTTTCTCCCCCAAAATGGCTTAGGTAAGTTGGCCCATTTGAGCATGGATCTGCATGGATCTGACTCTCTCAACAATGGTGCGATTCATCCGTTCAGCAACGCCGTTGTGTTGAGGCGTACCAGGAACTTTCTTTTCATGCCTGATACCATGCTGACTACAATAATTTCTAAACTCCTTAGAGATATATTCGTCACCATTATCCATGCGCAAACATTTCAATGCCACTCCAGTCTCTCTTTCTACCATCGCATGGAATTGCTAAAAGTGCTTGAATACTTCTTCTTTTGTGCGCAATAAATATATCCATGTTTTTCGTGAGAAATCATCAATGAAGGTTAGAAAATATCTACTTCCTCCAAGTGATTCTACCTCCATGGGATGGACACATTACGTTCAGAGGAGTGTACCAACTCTAACTTGTTGTCTCTCCTTCTAGAGCTTTTCAAAAATGAGACCCGATGTTGCTTCCCAAATAAATAATAATCACAAGGGTTTATTTTACCTTCGGCTAATGGTATGAGGGACTTCTTAGCCAACATATTTAACCCTTTTTCACTAACGTGCGCCAGCCGCCTATGCCACAAATTTGGTGAAGCATCATCTGCAACTGTGTTTAGTTGACCCGCACATATTATTGCGTGCGTCTTATACAGCGAGCAACATAATTTTCCTCTCGCCACCACCAAAGACCCTTTGGTGAGTTTGGTGAATTTCCAATTACCTTCACCTGTATGACGGTGATAGCCTTCCTTGTCCAGTACACTCATAGACAACAGGTTCAACCGAAGATCGGGAATATGTCTCATATTTTTAAGTGTTAATGGTTAATGTGCACCCAACACTTGTCTTTATGCAGATATCACCGATTCCCACAACTTGCGAGACAGTATTATTTCTCATTTTAATAGAGCCAAAGTCTCCTGCTTTATAAGTGGAAAAGTATTCCCTTTTTTGGAACACAGTGGTATGAAGCACCGGAACCTTCAATCCACTCGGTATCTGCATCTCCAACATGACAACAATCTGCATCATGAGTGACTAAAGTCACCTCACCATCTTCTCTTGAGACTGCAGCAGATGTATTTCTATCATTCTCTTGTCTTCGGTCTGCATTATCCTGTTTGAGTAAACGACAATTTCTTTTGAGATGACCCTCGTTACCGCAAAGGTAATATTTTCTCATCTCTCTGGACTTGGATCTACCACCTGACTTTACATGCCTTGGACCTCTACTCTTGCTCTGGCCCCTATTCTCTGTGAAAAGGGCTTGTGAACTGGTACTGGCAATGTCTTACTGGCAACATCTCTTCTTCGTAGTTCTTTTAATTGAGTAGTCTATTCTCTTACCATAGACATTGTTATCACACCATTTTGGAGCTGAGTTACTCAATGATACCACAAGAGTACCAACTATCCAGTAGAGATCCTAACAGTAGGCATACCTTTTGCATCTCATATCTAAGGACATAATCGCTAAACTGCTAACTTAGTTACGAGTCCTTCAAAATCATTCAGGTGTTATGTAATTGATCGTCCCTCTGACAGCTTCAAGTTACAGACTTTACCGAATCATTGAAGACTTTTCCTTGAGCATTCGTTAGCCTCGTACATATTCTCTATTTCTTCCACGAGAACTTGGGGATCTTTTTCATTTCTCACGTGGTTGTACAGGCTAGCATCTATCCATTGGCGTATTGTACTCAAATGTCTGCTTTTTTAATTTTCTCCCACTTGCCTATCTTTTTATTTTTCTGGCTTTGCACTGTCACCTTCAATTGGATCGTACAGATCTTTGCAATTGAGGTAGTCCTCCATTCTGGATTTCCACATTGAGTAATTCGAATCCGTCAATTTGATCATTGCCTCATCGTTAGCCATGTCGAATTCTGTATCTGACAAAATTTTACTATTCACGAAATTCACTATTCACGCGAATAGTAATTTTGTAGAAACTGACAGAATTTACCAACCAAAGGCTCTGATACCAGTTGTTGGGATTATAACTGATCCCAAGTAGGGCCCGCGGAAAAATGCTCCAATAATTACGTATTGGATATTGACGATCGAATCCACTAGAAATAATAATCACGGTAAAAATTAAATAATACTACGAAATAATAATCACGTAAAAATTAAATAAATTACCTGGCAGTAAATAGTATGAAAAATAAAGACAACCGAGAAATTTAACAGTGGTTCAACCCTTCAACTGTTATTGGGCTACGTCCACGGACAAAAACTCCGATAAATTTCTTTCTATTATAGTAGGTACAAAAAAATTACAAAAATAGTGGTACTGCTAAGTATTTCCCAAAAACACCCAAAAAATATGATCCCACTATTTTCCTCTCTTTCCCAATTTTTAGGAAGCCTTTCCTAAAATTCTATATACTCTATGATATTTCTATCTTTTATTTTTGTACATTTAAATGAACTTTCGTCTGCCTCTTTTATAGGCAGTTCAAGTGAAATGAGTCGTGTATACTCAATTCCACAGTCCTTTATACTTGTCAAGAAATTTGCCAACTTTTTTGCTTTTTTCAAATAAACAACGTTTTCTCTTTTTTTTTTTTTTTTTTCGGTTTTTTTTTTTTTTTTTTTTTTTTCGGCAGCCTTCATTGACTGCCCAAAACAAAACGTGTTTGTTGCTTTTTTTATTTCTTTCTTCAAACTTGTGTGGGTCCCACATGTTGGAGGGATCTCACAACAGGTATTTCTAATTTTCCCAAACCACAGTTTGCTAACTCTAAATATTGCAGTCGTAGTTTACAAAAGCAATAAAAACAAAAGGCCAAACTTATCAATCTTACAAGTAAAACTTTTGTGTTCACAGACAAACTTATCAAGTAATGAACTTAATTATGAATTACAGATATAATGTCTAGAGCAAAGATGAGACTTTGAGGTTTTGGAATGTCTTTCCGTCGATAAAAAACACTGGTACCCAGGACTGCTTAATACAGTCCATTTTACTGGTTTTCATATGCTCAGATTCTTCCATTAAACTATTTCTCTATGTTTTCAGGCACCGATCAAAGATATAGGTCTTTGGTCAGTGGAAAGTTCAATGATAAAAATCCTTTGCGAAAATCAACTTAAGTTATATTTTGTAAATGGAGATACTAAATTTTTTATGCTACCACTATAAGTTTGCAAAGTGAGTGTGAGGATTATTGTATTTTATATTTGTATTTCTTTTGTTTTTCTTCCTGTGTGCCAATTTTGTAAGTGATGTTATGCATTTTAGTGCAGGATTTGTAAAGTGTTCCTTCACTCCTATTATAGATTTAGTTACTTAGTAAATTACTGATAGGCTACTATATGGTACAAAAACTGATTGTATGGAGTTAAGCACATCTCTTTTTTTTGGGTTATTTTTGCACATGCATGGGTCATGTTATTATCTTTTGATACCATGTTTAACACATATTTCAAATGATGATAAATATATTGATAATAAATAATCATTTATTATATACTGATTGTGATAATTATTTATGTAAATTAATACACATATTTCAAATGATGATAAATATATTGATAATAAATAATCATTTATTATATACTGATTGTGATAATTATTTATGTAAATTAATTATAACTAATAGAAAATTAAAAGATGCAATTCTATTTGGATCTATGGTTATATATTTGTGATATGCATAGATAATTTAATAAATATTAATTTTTAATATTTAATTTAAATTTTTATATCTCAATTTTTATTAAATTGATTTATAGATAAATAACTTTAGAATTCGCAATGTTTAAATTAGTTCCATGATCAGGTAGTAATTTTTTTTATTTACATAATTACTTACTAATTAGTTAGGTTTTAATATTGAATTTGACCAACTTATGACTTTTCAAACCAAAATGAAATATTGTTTTTTATTTTACAATTGCTTAAATTATAAATTATAAATTATAAATTACAAAATAAAATATATAAAAAGCAATCATCTAATTATTTTATTATTCTGTCATCCTATTTCATGTAAAAATAGGATTAAATTTGGTTCAATATTTAAAAAATTTAGTCTGATACCAATTTTATTAAAAAAAAATTAAAATTTTATCTAGTAGATTTGATTGTTATTTTATACAACTCAAATCCTAAATCCAAACTGATTTAACTCAAAAATTAAATCAAAACATAAAAAAACAAATGGATACAATTCAATTCAATATTATAAATAGTTCAATTTAATTCGATTTGTTTAATACAAAAATTCGATTTTACTCAATTTAAAATGATTGATTTTATTCAATTTTATATTAATATTGCTACTACAGAATTAGCAAACTCCTTCCCTCCCTCTCTCTCAGATCCAATAAAAATTTTGCTCTTGCTGTGGTGTGAGAGAATGATATATCAAAGTTCCAGAACATGGAGCCCAATAGGTATTCTATGAAATTGTCATTTATGAAGAGCACAAAAATAAAAATTACAAAGTAAAGCCCATCAGCATGCCAATGTCCCTAAGGTGAGCAATTCTTGTACTGATACCAAGTCAGGAAGCACAGTTGCACCAGATTTTCTCCATTCCTCAGCATCAGGAGTTCTGAACCTATCTAACAGTAATGCATGCATCCCTACACTCTTCGCCGGTATATAGTCTTTGCGCATGCTGTCCCCAATATGCAGAGTTTCTTCTGGTGCAATATCTCCCGCCCTCTTAAGGGCAATTCTATAGATCTCTGGGTTTGGTTTCTCTACACCTTCAAGCCCGGAAAACACACCGAAGTCCCACTCTGAACCCTGATTTCAGAAATCATATTAATGATACTATCTGGCTTTCTTTTGTAAAGTTTCAAGTAATTGCTTGTTTAGTGCCTAAACAACAGTAAACCCTCAACTTTATTTCTTCACATTGAGCTCTTGAATTTTTAATTTCTTTTAACATTCACAATATCTTTACACAAAAAATAATGATGAGAAATTTGTTAACATAGTATACTAATTTTTCATTATGGAAATGCTACAGCTTTACAAAGTGGAATTCACTTTTGTGCCCCTGAAATTTTCAAGTTTTATGTATTCAGAAAGGAATTTTTTGAAAGTTGATGCAATATTTTGGTAACTTGGGAAATACAGCTAATGTTTTCTTATCAATTTAACTTTCAAAATAAAAAAGGCATCAATGTTAAAAAAAATCAAAATTCAAGGGCACCGATTTGGAGAAAAAAAAGTTGAAGGACTCAATAAAGAAAATAAAATAAGTTCCAGGGCCCTGAGATGGTTTTTTAGTTTTTTTTCAAAATTATTGCATACATAGACAAGTAATTAACTAGACGAATGAGTACCAGCAATTGCATGTTTAGTGCACAAAAGAACACACCATAGCCTCAAATCACACACATTTATCTAGTTACTGTCTATGGATGTAGTAGTTTTCCTAGATCACCTAAAAGCAGATAATGTTCAGTAATTTAGCAAAGATGGAAAGATTGTTAAAAAAAAAAAAAAAAAAAAAAAGTAATTTAAGCAAAGATTGGAAAGAGGATTGTTAAAAAAAAAAAAAAAAAAAAAAAGTTTGCAGATATAAATATTTGGTTACTTATTCAAACCCAAGGCTGGAAGGATCAACAAATCCTGAATAACGGTATTTCTGCATTGAAAAAAAAAAAAAAAAAAAAAAGTTGCAGATATAATATTTGGTTACCTTATTCAAACCCAAGGCTGGAAGGATCACATCCTGATAACGGTATTCTGCATTGCTAACAAGGCCAACTATAAGACCCTTTCCACATGCCCATCTTAAGAATGGTTGGGAGTCTGCAAAGATAGTATAAGGTGCAGATGAACCGAATGATGCATATATACGCCTGAAGATCTTCTCAAAAGTCTCTTCATCGTAATCATATCCAGCCTGAAGAAAAAACAAAATTCATTCAGTGCAGTAACATACTTCATACAAATCTAATTGTCACACCACCGTTGTGCACTAAATGCAGTTAGAAACCAGTAATGTTAGTTAAATTGACATATCTTAACATGGGAACATCATGTTGGTTCTGATATAAGGAAATAATAGCACTTCTACAAGCAGTCGACAAGCAATAACTAGCAACGAATCATTAAGCTAAATTATATACCTGAACAAAGGAATTTCTCACGCACGTTTTCCACCAGACAATGTTAGGCATATTCGCTGCATGCCCAAAACATGGGTACTTTTTGGCCATATCTGTATATGCAATTTTAAAACCCTCATGCACACGCTTGTAGTCAGGGCATGGCAGTCCAACAGATTTTGCTGCCATGCAATAGTAGTCACCAAGCTCACCTTTGTAAGCTATGAGCGTACCAGTTACATCCACAGTGATACAGCGTAACTTTGACAAAAGAGACATGGCAGCAAGTGTGCAGCAGGTTCAAGAACTGGGAAGATTCCAAAATTGTATCTTGAGATCAGCGTAGCATTAACAATATGCCCAAGGCAATAATGAACCTTATGGAATGTCTGATTCCTTCAGTAGATCAAAGAATGCTAAAATGATTAATTGCCCCACGTGAATCAATTTCTGATAAAGCAGTTAAGCAGTAACCAAGTCTCTATCAACCAATAACTTTCAAGTGAACATAATTAATTGCTAACATACAAAATTTTCTAATGCAATTTGTTTGAACATTAAGCATATTAATGGAGAAAGCTCTGTCAATCTAGTAGCCAATTATTTCTACTGAACAGATGAAATCAAAAAATAAAATCCTATAATCTCCACAGCAATTTGGTCATTTTCAGACTTCAAAGCTTCAATAAATCAATCATGTAATACTTGAAAAGATAACATTGAAACAAAATTGGCTTTGAGTGCACTAGATATAGAGGAAAGCATAATCAAACGATAAGGCTCAATTAAACAGGAGAAGAACTAAGACTTGTCTAGTAATGCAAGTTGATTATCAAAAAGGCAAGATTTGAAATGCTCAATGTTGATCTGATCATGGTATGTCCAGCCTTGGAAATTGCTGGACAAGAATGAAACCGAGAAGAAAGGAAAAAGTATTTCAAAATAAAAGCTTCTAATACCTACTGAAGCCATTAAATTATAGCATTTCTGTCCTTTGCTTTGCAATTATATAGTACAGTGTATAAAACGGCCATATATAGCCGAATGGGTCGATCATTACTTAAGTAGCAGGTGAGATAAAAGCAGAATCACCAGAAAAGTAGCCAGTCAAATTATCCAACTGAATACAGATTGGATGAAAGGCCCTACTAAAAAAATATCCGTAAGTGCTAAACAACAGTAGGTGACCATAGGCAGACAGTAAAGAATCTAGTAAACAAAAAACTTCCTGTAGTAACAAATTAAAGAGGAGCAAAGGATATGCAATGTGCAAATTCCCAGCCATACATCTCTTGAAATATGAGTTCATTAACCGTAAAGAAAGTTACTATACATTAGAGACTGGAAGCACATTCAAATCAAATTAACAAGTTCCTATCTCTTCGGATTTCAAAAATCAGTACAAGATCTTGCAGATATGATAAAACTTGGAATAAAATACAAGGAAATAACTTACATGAAAAGAAGTTTAAAGGTTGACCTATTTAACTATCAGGCTTTTCTAATTCAGAAATATCTACCAGTACTATGAAATTGAAATAACATGGCAAGCCTCACTTTGAATATGCTTGATTAAATGCTAATGCTTGATCCATCTGACTTTTATGCAAAAACACACGCCAATATGTACAATCAGAGACAGGGACAGGCTTTGAAAATCACTCTTTCACCAAAAAATTAATGAAAAAGTGATTCTAGTAACATTAAATCCACTTAATTTACATAAAATTTAAGGAGTTACAATGCAGAAATAAAAATAAAAAACTGATCTAGATGTATGCCAAAACTCACTTCCATGATCACCAGTGAAATTAAGGTCAGTGACTTCATCTTATTGATTTACTCACCAACATATTTACATTTTGTCAAGATTTTAAATATGATGTAATGTGAATGAAAATTTTGCTACTGTTATTACTAGGTGAGCTACATATAAAATAATCTCTTTTAGTCTCCAGGACTGAAATTGCAAACAGTTCATTAAGTATCCATAGATAGTCTGATGGCATCCACCACATGAAATATAGTGTCACTGATCCCTGAAATGTCATCTACCATACTGGGGACTTATGTAAATATCTAACTTGTCACCCAGATCTTTTTCCTTATATAAAACAACAAACCAAATTGCTCATGGAAACTAAATCCAGCCAAAACAATGCATGAACCAAGCAAGAAAGAAAAAGATAATTACAGATTATATCACTAATCTTCGTTCATAATGTAGATATCTCATCATTCTCTTATTCAATAGAAAGATTATCAAGATTCAAGATCATGAATTGAAAAGAAAATCCCAGACGATATGTTCAATCTAACCAATTCCAAAGGGGGAAAAAAGACATGAAAGTATCAATGAAGGTCAACTAACATACTACAGAAAATCACAGGTGAATAAATTAAATAAAACATGAAAGAAAGAAAAAAAGAGCAAAACCAACAATCAAAAATGAAATTAGACATACCCTGAAGCTGAAATGAAGAGAAATCTGAGTTGCTGAGTCGAAATTCCCACTCTTTTGGTTTATTCTGTTCAGACTTTGAAGCTATTTCTTCTAGCTTCAACTGAATTACTTGCTTGCATAGAGACCCGGGGCCACTTCACCTATATACATATATATACACACAATTATATGAAGGGAAAGATATAGTTTACGCTTTTCTATGATAGCATGCCTTGGTAGTTAGCAAGAGAGAGACGCGGTTTCCGACTTCCGAGTACATTTTTATAAAACTGGACATAACTGTTGTTTTTTTTGTATTATTTACCTTAGATGTCACTATATTTCTTTTTATTTTTGTTTTGACCCATTTTTCTTATTTCCTATTTCTACCGTTTGATGTGAATTAACCTTATGGAGATCAAAAAAATCAAAAGTGAAAATGTGAATTGCAATTCTAGAAAAAAAAAAGTGTTACCTATTCAATAATTTGTATTTAGAACAAGCAAATATCTTATTTTTCATTGGTAAAAATTTCAAAATTTCTATTTTGATTTAATTTTGAAGAATAATAAAGAAACAAAATTTTAAAAGATACAATTTTAATAAGTTTTGTTTAATGGTAATAAAGTCGTCTAGATAGCTACAGAATTTATGAATCAAATCTAATTGAGTTAAAAAATTTTAGCTCATCAATAATTTTTATTTTTCCAAAAAAAAATATAAAAGAATGCGTCTCCAAGACCATGAGGGTGCAATGGAACAAAACTCGGGTGACATGTGGGTAAAACTATAAATACACTAAAATAGATGTACTTCATAATAAAGGTCCTACAAATTGAAAAATTAGAAATTGTGCCAGCAAAAACCATGGATGCTTGCCAGTGGTTTTAATTTCTGCAGGAGTTTGACCACAATGTTTTGGAACATGGTGAGGTTTAGAAAATTTCGACCATCCATATGGAATATTTTAATCTCAGCCGTTGGATGAGATGCAAGTACATTGGACAAAAAACTGCAACAGCAAGTGCAGCTCTTTTACCAACCTATTAATGGAGCTGCCGGTCATCTAATGCACTACTATGTTCAGTACGGAGTAAGCCACAAAACCCTCTTACTAATAGTATTTCCATTGGATTAAAACAATATCTTAATTAATCATGGCATTCGGTAATATAATATATATCCTAGCGTTTAGAGCTTAAAGTTATATTTCATAAAACATTTTATCTTTATTAATGTTTAACGTTTTATAAATTTTTGTACGACACCTATACCATACTTATCTTTACCTTGCTCCCATTTTTATACATTTTTTATCATTTTATATATTTTATCAAACATTTTTATTCTAAACCGCTCTATAAATAGATAATATTAACCGTTAATATTAATATCAACAGTTAACTGCTTGTAAAACAGCTGACAGTTACTACAACAGTTTAGATTGCTTAACAAAGCCATAGAAGAGAGAGCGAAATATATTGAAATAAAGAACAGAATATGTATTCCCGTGTTTGATATGCACGGTAAAATAAAAATTTTAACTATATTCATGTGTTTTTTTTTTTTTTTTTTAGATAATATTAAACCGTTAATATAATATCAAACCGTTAACTGCTGTAAAACAGCTGACAGTTACTACAATCAGTTTAGATTGCTTAACAAAGCCATAGAAGAGAGAGCGAAATATAATTGAAATAAAGAAGCAGAATATGGTATTCCCGTGTTTTGATATGCACGGTAAAATAAATTTAAACTATATTCATGTGTTTTTTTTTTTTTTTTTTTTTTTTTGAAAAGGAAATAATATTAATTTTGCATATCATATATAATTGTCACAAAAACTTGATTTCGAGGAGAAATCCAAATTTGAAGGCCAGCATATAAATAAGTCATCCTTGTTATTGCATGAGTAGCATTATTGGCTTGCCTCCTTACCTAATTAAAAGAGCTAACATTAGCTTCAATACCTAAGAATATACAGTAACAATCAAAACTCAGAATGATCATATGTAGCACCATAAATTGCCTGACAGACCTCTTGTGCATCCAACTCTACTAGGATCGAACCAAACCATTATGTTTTAAGCCAGGAAAGCACTTCCCTCAAACCCACTGCTTTAGCCATCCTAGCGGATCTCAGACCAACAACAATACCGATAATACCCATAATGAAACTGCCTCTTGAATCACGTAACAGAGCTCCAAACCATGTGCTGTTGTGGTCTTCAAAAATTGTCGTATCCATGTTGAGCTTAAATGCACCTGGAATCAGTGGAACCCATTGATGATGGACATGCGATCTATTCCAACTTGAAGAGACGGGGGTGATAGCTTGTGCTGACCTCCACTTAGCCAAGAATCGATTTGCTTACAAAATAATAACCTTTGTCGAATTGTTTGTACCCTTCCAGACAAGGAGGTTTCTATTGTACCAAATGAACCAAAGTAAAACTAATACCTCCACCAATTTTGAGTTTGCGATTTAGAAAGGTCCCCAGCCATCCCAAAAAATCACCATAAAGCATATCAAGAACCTGCATGGATAACTTTTGGATACACATAACAGACTTAGTACATTGAAGCAATGCATGACCAATAGTTTCACTAGCTCCACATGTATCACAGGCATAAAAAATTGCTATGCCTTATTGGTTAAGAGAATAGTAAGTAGGGAGATTATTCCTTAACCACCTTCACAAGAACTTTTTAACCTTTTATGGCAATTTCAAGGCTCATACTTTTTTCTACTCCACTTTGTGCTCCCTCAACAAACTAGGTCTAGCTACTTGTTTTGCAAGCCTATACCCTGATTTCACCTTATATATGCCCCTCTTTGTCCAATGCCACACAATCTCATCCTGGAGATTTCTATAACTCAGTATAATAGCGATTATACTATCTGTTTTTGCAGGAGCAAATATCCCTCCGATAAACTTCTCATCCCACTCTAAAGAACCTTCCTTAAACAAATCAGCCACCACCATCTCACTTAAATCCTCCAACCTGTGCAAATGCACAAGAAAATCTGCAATTTAAGAATCCAAGGATCATGCGAAAACCGAACTAACTCACTCGATCCTATTTGCCATCTAACCCCTCTTTCTAACACATTTTTAGTTTCCAAGATGGTTCTCCAAATAAAGCTTGGATTAGACCCTAAGGTCGTCTTTAAGAAATTTCCAACGGAAAGTATTTAGCTTTGAAGACACTCACTAAAAGAGAAGACAGATTGCGAACAACCCTTCAGCGCATAAGATAAAAGGATAGGGGGATAAAGGGTACTTTTTCCTTAGTCCCCTTGCTAGAAAAATCAGTCAAATCTCCGAACCATTAAAAGCCACCTCATAGCTCATCAAAGTGACATACATCATAATTAAATCCACCCACCTAGAGCAAAAACCCAACTTCAACATACTAGCCCAAAGATAGCCCTAGTCCACTCTGTCATATGCTTCACTTATATCTATTTTCATAGCCACAGACCCATATTTACCTGATACTTTCCTTTTCATGGAGTGAATTATCTCAAAGGCTACTAAGACATTATCCGTAATCAGCTTACTCGGTACAAATTGACGCGGAACCCAATGAAAATAAATTTCATGAACTCAATGATAAGTTTTGGAAGAGATCAAAGATCTAAAATAAATTCCCCTCTATGGCACCCAAAGTGGAAGAGATCAAAGATCGTAAAATACAATTCCCCTCTATGGCACCCAAAGCTTAAAGAAAGCAAAGAACACCAAAATAATAGAGTATAAGATAGATAAACACCACGAAAGAAGTTGAATAAGTTTATCCATTGATTCTTTGAGCAGATAGAAAGAATGCAATCTCACACTCTTCTAGAAAACATGAACACGTCCTAAGCATGAAAGATAGTACTTTTAATTCAATCTGAATAATTGTCTATAATTAACAAAATAACAAGCTATTTTACTAACTAGAGTGTCCAGATCCTTTAAAGGGATTAGAGTTAGCAAGGAGAGGATTTAGCAAAATCTAAAAACTAGGAAAAGACTTAACAAAAATCATAACAACTTAAGGGATTTTAGGATATCTCAATCAAACTACTAAGATATGACTAAATCTAAACAAAATAAGGACTAATTAATCAAAGGGGGCTGAGAATTATTGGAGGCCCCCAAAACCATTAACAAAGCAAAAAACTCCAATAAGCAACTAACTTAATAAGAAGGCAGGACCAAAGCACGGCTGGGTGTCTATTTGGCACGGGCGTGCTTCAATGTAGGAGTTCCCTCCCGTGAGAGTCCAGTAGGGAAGCAACGCCAGGGTTGTGCTATTTGGCACGGGGGTGCTTCAAGTCAGAGGGAAGCACGGCCTGGGTGGTGCTCATTTGGCACGGGGTGCTATCAAAGTTAGTTTGTTTTTCTCAGTATAGTCAGACGAGGGCACGCCTGGGGTAAAATGCCATCTAGCTACGGGCGTGCTAACCAATTCAATTTCCCACTCACATGTGCTTCTAATAATGTGAGGAAAACTAGGTGTTCCTTCAAGTCTTCAAATAGCACTTGTTGAATATGAGCAAGGTCATGGAGTCTCTTGGTTGATTGCCCTTTGAAATTATAAGGACATGGTTGCTCCAAACTTCTTTGGCCGGTCCCTTGTAATTGGTGCCACTAGGAGTGCTAATGGATTGCTATTGTTGTGTCCCTTGTTCCCTTGAGCTCCTATAATAAGGTTTGGTTGGTGGTGGTGGATCGTATCATACCCCTTCCGTTCTTTAAAAAGCTTTGTCCTCAAATTTGCAACGCATGTCCAAAGGGAGACAATTCACTAATATTAAAAAGTTGCTAGAAACACCATACTCACCTGGCAAGTCTATTTTGTAGGCCATTGTCATGATGCGCTCTTTAAGCTTGGAATGGAACCATCTCCACGGTGCATCAAAGCTTACTTTTCCTTCCTTTGTTGGAAAAGTCTTTTCCTTACGAAAGTGTAACCCAAACCCAATCACCTGGCATAATAAGCACAAGTTTCTTCCTGCCCTGTTTTGCCTTTATTAGTCATATTGCTTGTTCCTATTTTCTATGGTTGGCTCTAGCCTTCTCATGATAAAGACTTCACCAATTCTGCCTTTTTTATCACCATCTAAATTAGATAATGTTCATTCAAAGGTAAAGGAACAAGATCTAATACAGTTAGTGGATTAAAGCCATAAACAAGTATCAAATGACTAAAACTGAGGTAGAATGTATGCTACGATTATCATGCAACTCAATGAATGGCAAAACAATCTTCCCTAAGTTTTTAAGTTCTTAGCCCACAATG